AAATCATTCAAAGTGGAGACCTCTTCGGTCGGTTATATCATCGGTAGGAATGGTCTCACCATTCAGTACGTGATAGCCATTGATCTGATCCCTGAAGACATTTGACTAATGATTACAATTCCTAAACTATAGGAGTATTCGCGACAAATCTAGCGCTCAGATCAAAGTGGAGCCGAAGAGCAAACAAACGAATCCAGTGATGACTTCTCTGGACATCACCGGAACTGATGAGCAAATAGAGGAAGCGTTTGAACTCATCAACAAAGAAATCGCATTAAGAGATAGTCAGCAAAACAGATGCCAACAAAACTATAGCCAAATGGCAATACCCGTCACCAAACCGCTTACCATTGATATAGAGGCCAGTGATTCACCACTAGATTTGGATCATTACTTCTCGCGACTCAATCGCATCGGTGTTAACGAAGTGTTTGTGTCGGCCGTCAAGAGTCCCGACGAGTTCTACGTCCAAATCGCTGGCGTCGGCGCTCAACACTTGGATCTATTGGTCGAAGAGATCACTGCTTTCTATAGCAATGAAGACAATAGGATCTGCTTTAAGCCGACGTCTGTGCGAATGGGAGACATCGTTGCCGTTCCCTTCCCTCACGACGACCACTGGTATAGGGCTCGAGTGGTGGCCATCGAAACCTCTCTCGAATCAGAAGTGGAATCAACGGTTAATGTCTTTTATGTGGATTATGGCAACCAATTAGTGCTCGAATACAACCAAATCTGTACTCTTAAGGATCAGTTCTTAAGGAGACTTCCATTTCAAGCGATGTGTTGTTCACTATATGGTGTCCAACCCAATGATCACCTGAATTGGTCTCAACAGTCGATTCAGAAGTTTCAAGAGTTATCACATTTGGAGAAATGGAAGCCTTTGTTCGCTAAAGTGATTGAAATGAAGATAATTGACGGCAAACACGAGATATATTGCATTGATTTGATTGATAAGAATCCAGACATTAGTGGTAATGAAGAGTCGAATGATGATGACTGGGACGACAATACAAATGTTATGCATTTGAATATCGCTCTCGAATTGATTGCCAAAGACTTTGCCATTGCTTGCGATGACTCGAAAGATATATCTATTCGTTAATCCATTCATTATTTTCAATTAAAACCTTTTCTATTTCCTATTGTTTTCAATGATTTTATTTTTGTTATTTTGATTATTTGTCAAACACTTTATTAATAATCATGCATCTTATTAACCATATAGTAGCGAGTTTTGAACCAAAACTTTTTGTACTACGGTATATTAGTGTGCTTAATTGTAAGCATAGTTATATAAATGCAAATTTTAAATATTTACTGTTGAATATAATTAGTCCATAATCATAAACGCATAATTTTAGATTGGAAACTTTTTAACACGAGCATACATTTTTTGAGTATATTTTGTGTCAAATTTATTTACGGTATTTAATTCCTAGTTTTCTATTGTATTGATTTCTATTGATTTGTCATTATATTTATTATGACATTTCACGACATAATACTACCGTATTCAAAATGATCTATTGCCTTATAAATGAATAAGTGCATAAATTAAATCAATTGACCAATTTAAAACTTAAAATATTACGAAAATATTACTTAAAAATGAGATAAATCTAATTAGCTATTTAATATTCTTATTTATATAGGTTTAGATACTACAATTTTAAATTTTATTCTTAATCTTACTTTAAAAAGTCAATAAAATTATTGAATATATAATTATACTTATATATATTATTATAATTATACTTGTAAACTTGTAAACAACTTTAATAACTGGTTGCGAATAACGTTCACATATAAACCAAACAATCAATTAAACCTAAATAAAATGTATTTTCAAAACCGAATGAAAAATTGGATAAACAATCGTAAGACAAATAATCAATCACTAAATTTATAATCAATACTTTTATACTTAAAATGCATTGTAACGATTATACAGTACTATACAAGACTGGTAGTATGGGAGGGTCCAAGCTTCTAGTGTTAAACTAATTTGTACTGTAATATTGATGAGTTTTTCTATAAATAAATATTTTATTTTAATTGCTCAAGTTATATTATACAGTATATTTGAAAAATTTAAATCACCAATAAAAATTGTATAGTATTAGAAATAAAATATTTAATTTGTCAAACACTGGTCCGGTAATACTGTACAAATCATAACTAATGCACCCAATGTTTATCAACTAGTACAATTGATGCACTACAGATATTATAAAGCATACTTTTTTGTTACACAATAGTACATTTTAGTGATTATATTCAATAATAGTTTCTACTGTATGTATAAATACAGAAAACCTTTTTTGTTTTAACACTTATTATTTTTATAAATTAGTCTTTTTTAAATTATTAAATAACTTAAATTTATTTAATATGAAGTTTTTACTGCTATTGGCTTTGCTTTCAATAGTAAAAGCAAACGATTTCAGTATTGATGACTACGAAGAGGTGAAAAACTCGCGAAACTTTACGGGAAAAGTAGTTTTGGTGACCGGAAGTAGTTCTGGCATTGGGGAGGGCATTACGAAACTATTTTCAGTATTGGGCGCCAGTGTTGTGGTCACCGGTAGGAAAGAGGCGGACGTTCAGAGAGTGGCACAAGAAGTGGAAAAGTTGTCTCCTTATAAACTAAAGGTATGAATAAATCATTGATTATTAGTCGGAAACTTATAATTAAAACACAATTCATTAAAAGCCATTACAAGTGGTCGCGGATCTAACCAAACCTCAAGACGTCGAGCATCTGATCAACGAAACGATTAAAGCGTTTGGAAAGTTAGATGTATTGGTGAACAACGCCGGGATATACCCGACCTCAAGCATCGGTGATAGCAATTTGATGGAGGAATGGGATCAGGTGTTCAACATTGACTTGCGGGCTGTCGTACAGCTCATTCATACAGCACTTCCACATTTAGAGGCTACTAATGGTACCATAATTCACATTTCGAGTATCGCTGGCATAGCACCGGTATTTATAAACGATTTTGAAATTTAAAGTTAATTTTTCTAAAAAAGTTTTTCAACAAATATTTATGTCTACTGTATAGACGGCTAATATGGTTGCCTACAGTTCAGCCAAAGCGGCGCTGGATATGCTGACCCGGGTATTAGCCCTCGAGTTAGGATCAAAAGGGGTCCGCGTCAATGCAATCAAGTAATTGTTATATTTTATTAATTAGTAAAATAATACTTATAGTTTATTTAAATTTTATACGAACTATAGTCCGGGTGCTACAAAGATGGGCCAAATACCTGATGTGTTATATGAACTGGTTGTCAAACACACACCACTGGGTAGAGCAGCACTACCTATAGATATAGCAAATGGTGTGGTATTCCTGGCCTCCAGTGACTCTAAATTCATAACCGGTGCTAATTTGGTGATTGATGGCGGACTTGTATATAATTACCCCGCTTATATGCAATGAACCATTTCTAAAACTATAATTATTTTAGCCTAATATCAATCTTTAATTATTTAAAATAAAGTTGTTTTTATGATAACAAAGTAGTTTTGGTGACCGGAAGTAGTTCTGGCATTGGGGAGGGCATTACGAAACTATTTTCAGTATTGGGCGCCAGTGTTGTGGTCACCGGTAGGAAAGAGGCGGACGTTCAGAGAGTGGCACAAGTTGGTGATTGATGGCGGACTTGTATATAATTACCCCGCTTATATGCAATGAACCATTTCTAAAACTATAATTATTTTAGCCTAATATCAATCTTTAATTATTTAAAATAAAGTTGTTTTTATGATAACTTAAAAAATAAAGAATATTTTTCAAAATTGTTTTGTAATTTTAGTACTTACTTACCCTACGAGTTAGTTATGATACAAAATTATAGGAATTCAGTATTATTATGTATTAATCGTTTAATTAAACTTCAATTACTATATAATTTACGAGTTAGTACGTTTTGTAACATTTAGTAAAATATAATTTTTATTAGCAAAAAATATCCAAATAAAATAAATATTGTATATAATGTAAAATATTAGTTATGTAGTAAATTGAGCATTTTCTTAAGTGTAAAACAAGTGCAACTGATTATTATCACTAATATTGCACTGAATGTCTAGCAACGAACTATAAGTACAAATAAAGTTACATTACAAATACTGTATTATACATCTATGTTTGTGTACTTTTAATTATTAATAAAGTATTTTCTGTATTTGTAATTTGGAAGCAAAAAACTATATAAAAGAATGAAAATTGGAAATGAAAGTCAAATAAATCAAAATAAATTCAAAGTTTCAAAGAGTCCTAAGAGTGAGATAATCGTTGAAAATGTCATCAAAAGATATCTACGAAGAAGTGAGAAATTCACGCGATTTCACGGGAAAAGTAGTTTTAGTGACCGGTAGTAGTGGTGGTATTGGCGAGCAAACAGTGAAACTATNAGCCATTGGAAGTGGTGGCAGATCTGGCAAAGGATGCGGACGTCGAGCGTGTGTTCAATGAGACGGTGAAGACATTCAAGCGATTGGATGTATTGGTGAACAACGCCGGGTCCTACCATTCAGCCAATGGAACCGATAAAGACTTTGTCGATATACTCCAGAAATCCGAGAAAGTGGACGTCCACTCAGCTCTACATCTCATACGACTCAGTGTTCCCTATCTGGCAGAGACTAAGGGACGGGTAGTCAACATCAGCAGTACATACACACAGAGACCGGTAAAGGAAATATAAATTAATAAATGATAAAAAGTGCTAAATATTTGTATAAATTGATAGCAAGTGTCGTACTTAGCGTATGAAATATCCAAACAGTCACTGGAAATGGTCACTAAAGTACTGGCCCTAGAATTGGCTCCAAAGGGCATACGAGTCAATACTCTGAGGTATTCAATAAATACATAGAAACTGTAGAAACATTGAGCAAATATATATTTAAAAATTATTAAATAATTATAAAGTAATTAATTAAAATTATATTAACATTGTGTTCATATAGCGTAGGAGTGGTGCAGTCGTCCCCCAGGAGTGATATGCCGGCCGATACGTTGGCGATGTTTGATAGGGTCGAGAAGATTACGCCACTCGGGAGGGCCCGCAATATAGATATGGCTAAAGGAGTGGTGTTTCTGGCCTCCAGTGACGCCGACTTTATAACCGGACACAATCTGGTCGTTGACGGAGGACTCAAGTATAATATGACCTCAACATTGAATAAACATTAAAATACACAGAAATTACTTGATATTAGCAGGTTAATAATTTTTAATAGCACTTTTGTTAAATAGTAAAAGGTTATTATAAAATCTAACATTATATATTATTATTTTTAAAGCAACTTATAAAAATATAATTATTTTTGATAAATACAATTAAGTAAACAAATATCTAACAAATGTTTTATTTGTATTTGAATTACTAAATTTATAATTTAGAAAGTTTACATTTAGTCTAAATATTGTAATTTGAAACAAAATTAATTTGACTTTAATATTAATAAATAAATGAATTGTTATTTATGTTAATATAAATTTATATAACTTATAATTATAATTATATTTATATATATATATTATAAAAAGATTAATAATAATACAAACCCTCACGCCGTGGCCGCTCATAACAAGACTTTACACCACACACCACGGGGTAGAGTAGGTCTACCCATAAACATAGCCAATGGAGTATGCTTTCTATCTTTAAGTAATGCCGACTTCATAACCGGTCATATCTGGTCATTCATGGATGGATATGTATGACTGGAAAGTAAAAAGGCCTCTAAATATTTGTTTAGTGTGCCTAATATTCATACGAATAGTTAGTAAGCAATGTGTCAGGGGAAAACCTACAAATAGACTCAAGCACAAAAAGAAATACAAGTGTATAAAACTTTGGAGGCCTTTTTACTTTCCAATCATACATATGGATTCTGACTTTACTAAAGTATTAATTAATTAAATATATATTTCAATAGATTAAGTAAACTGTGTAAAATACAATTATAAATTATTAATAAAAGTTATTTAAGTAAACTAATAACTTGTTTAATTTATTATTAAACCATTCATTATAGTATTAGTTTTCTGACGTAGAGTTTGCAAAAATTATAAATCTATTTTAATATAAACTAGTACAATTTACAGGGCTAAGCAATCTAATGAAACTCAAGAAAATTTAGTGCAAAATATATAGGGGAGTATAGAAATGTTGTTTCTGGCTATAATTTAAATATCTCTGGAATGGCTTAATATTTTCAAAAGCGGTTTGTTTTATTGAATAGCCTAATAATGTGATGATTATAAAGTTTGAGATTATTTGTGCCTGTTCATTTTTTTAAACGTATGCTCACTTAATTGCAAATTTATCAGAAATTGCATTACATTAGCAATATTTGATTATTAATAAACTAATTATCAATCTATCAAATTGTAAAATGAGTACTAATAAGATATAATATAAAAATATCATATTATAATTTTAATATAAATAATAGATAATCAATTATTTATGTTTTATCAATTTTCTTACATTGGTGCAATTTTGTTGTAATTAATCTTTAGATATAAAAGCCTATTATATCAATTAATAACTTGTACCAGGTGTACCGTACTTTAAAAAAGACCTTGGTTGATCCACATTTTGAATTAGGTCGGACTAAAATTGAACTAGGTTAGCACTTATTTCATTGTGTTATAATTGAATCGAAACTATTAATCGATAAAAAGTATAATTCATTTTCAATACCATATCTACTTTAGAGCCATTCCGGGCCACACTATGAGTGACAAAACTTTGAACATTTTAACATTAATCTCAATATTGACTAATGTTATAATTTTAAAGTTTTGTCACTGTTAATGTAGCCCGGCTTACAATGCATGCTAATCATAGTCATTTCTAATAAAATGTTTAATTTATTTGTACCAGCAAACAAATATTTTTTATCAAGTGTTTGTGAATCTTGAATACTGTATCATAATGTTAACAATATATTGTTTTACAGTAACTTTTCAAAAACAAATTGGTCATCATAATAATACAAAATGTACACCACTTTTAATAAATATCTTGCTTCAAAAATGGATTATAATTTATAAGTTATATCCATTCCTTCATTTAATATCTGATAACCACTATTAAGTTCAGTTACACGACATTCACAGATTAATCCTTAAACATTTATAATATATTTGTTAATTACATCGATTATAATTCAATTGAACCATATTTAGCAATTGAAATGATTTTTAAATATACAATATATTATAATGTTAGTTCAAATAATGTTATATTTGAATTAAGTTAAGATCGCTTTTTAAGTAAATTATTAATTTCTAACTAATAATCCATTAATCCATTACAGAGAATACTACCGAAATTCAGTCTGAATTTCAGACTTTATTTACTGAATATAGTGAATTGTTAACAAGTTGAATTTTTTAAATAAATTTTTCTATTATTTTTAAATATTCAAATATAATACTGCAAGTCAACAATCATAAATTACACCTCATTTCATAATGCATATACATTTGAATCTGGTCTATCAAACACGATTTATAAAGTCCGAGTCCAAATTATACTTGAGTCCGCCATCAATGACCAGGTTATGACCGGTTATGAACTGAGCGTCACTTGAAGCCAAAAATATCACTCCTTTGGCTATATCTATGGGAAAGGCTATTCGTCCGAGTGGTGCATATTTGGCACATTTCTTTGCCAGAGCATCCATACCATCGTATGATTGAACAATACTCGGACTAAAATGTAATGCATATTGTCATCAATTTATTATAAAAGCCAATACAAGTGATACCATACCTAACAGTATTAAGTCGTATACCCTGTGGACCCAACTCTATGGCCAATACATTGGTTATGGTTGTCAGCGATTGTTTGGCCAAATCGTAGGCCAACAGAGATTTTTGCTATAAATTTACAATTTTATTAATTTCTTAATAATTATACTTTCAATTGATTGCATTACCGATCTTTCCGTGTAAGTACTGCCCATATTAACTACCGATCCGTTTGTCTTTTGCAAATACGGGACACTCAGACGTATGAGTTGTAGTGAAGTGCGGACATCAATCCTCTCTGATTTGTCCAATACATCCAAAAAGTCTTTATCGGTTCCATTGGCTGACAAATACAGACCGGCGTTATTGACCAATACATCCAATCTATTGAATGTCTTAATTGTCTCATTGAACAGACGCTCAATATCTTCATCTTTGGTCAGATCCGCCACAACCTCTAACGGCTGTAAAAATATTTAATGAATTTATTAACAAATGTTTTATAAATGATGTCTAATTTAAATACCTTGAGCTGTTTTGGGGACAATTCTTGCACTTCTTTGGCCACTTTCTGAACCTCTGCCTCTTTCCTACCGGTGACCACAACACTGGCACCCAATGCCGAGAATAGTTTTGTAATTTGTTCCCCGATTCCATTACTACTTCCGGTCACCAAAACTACTTTTCCCGTAAAATTTCTTGAATCCCTCACATCTTGATAGATATCGTTTGATTGAAATGCATTAACATTTGTCAATGCGATTAATGCTAACAAATATATGGCAAACATTTTCAACAAATATGATAATTTGGTAAAATTTTAAGAATTATTAAAGTTTTGTTTTTAGTGTTTTTAAAACTCTTAATTTTAATTCAAATCGAGTCAAGCTTTATATACCTTTTGAGAAACAATTAGATTAAATGTGCCTGCTCTATTTTAAACATCCTAGATTAGAATTTCTTTATTATCAACTATTTAATTTATCAAAAGTTAACCCAATTATCAAATAAAATTATAATTAGTTCACTTATTGGGTATATTAGGTATCTTAATAATAATACTTTTCTATCAATACTAATCCAGTGCTTTCTATAACATCAAGTACCTTCTGTATATTTCAGCACTTATAATGTTAAAGTTACTTAATCTAACTTTTAAATATAACCTTTATTCAAAATACTGAATAAGTGATATATACACTAAATACGATATATTTTGCACTAAATTTTCTTGAGTATCATTAGATTTCTTAGTACTATCAATTGTACTAGTTTATATTAAAATAGTTTTATAATTTTTTGAAACTCTACGTCAGAAAACTCTAATACTATAATGAATGGTTAAATAATAAATTAAACAAGGTAGTAGTTTACTTAAATAACTTATATTAATAATTTATAGATGCATTTTATACAGTTTACTTATTACAATTATCTATTGAAATATATTTTTAATTAATTAATACTTTAGTAAAGTCAGAATCCATATTATATTTAATCCATCCATGAATGACCAGATTATGACCGGTTATGAAGTCGGCATTACTTAAAAATAGAAAGTATACTCCATTGACTATATTTATGGGTAGACCTACTCTACCACGTGGTGTGTGGTGTAAAGCCTTGTTATGTGGGGCCACGGCGTGAGGGTTTGTACTCTTCCAAGAAGTGTATTATTCTTAATCTTTTTATAATATATATAATTATAAGTTATATAAATTTATATTAACTTAAATAAAAATTCATTTATTTATTAATATTAAAGTCAAATTAATTTTGTTTCAAATTACAATATTTAGACATCTAAATGTAAACTTATGTTAGTTAAATTATGATACAAAATTATAGGAATTCAGTATTATTATGTATTAATCTTTTAAGTAAACTTCAATTATTATATAATTTACGAGTTAGTACGTTTTGTAACATTTAGTAAAATATAATTCTTATTTGCAATAAATATCCAAATTAAATAAATACTGTATATAATGTAAAATATTAGTTATGTTGTAAATTGAGCATTTTCTTAAGTGTAAAACAAGTGCAACTGATTATTATCACTAATATTGCACTAAATGTCTAGCAACGAACTATAAGTACAAATAAAGTTACATTACAAATACTATATTATACATCTATATTTGTGTACTTTTAAATATTAATAAAATATTTTCTGTATTTGTGTAATTTGAAAGCAAAAAACTATATAAAGAATGAAAATTGGAAATCAAAGTCAAATAAATCAAAACAAATTCAAAGTTTCAAAGAGTCCTAAGAGTGAGATAATCATTGAAAATGTCATCAAAAGATATCTACGAAGAAGTGAGAAATTCACGCGATTTTACGGGAAAAGTAGTTTTAGTGACCGGTAGTAGTGGTGGTATTGGCGAGCAAACAGTGAAACTATTCTCGGCATTGGGTGCTAGTGTTGTGGTCACCGGTAGGCGAGCGGAGGGGGTCAAGAGAGTGGCCAAAGAAGCTCAAGAATTGTCGCCACAAAAGTTAAAAGTAATTCATATTTATTTTGTATTATAATAATAATAAGTGATTATAATAATGAAAACTGTTTGGACAGCCATTGGAAGTGGTGGCAGATCTGGCAAAGGATGCGGACGTCGAGCGTGTGTTCAATGAGACGGTGATCATAAATACCTCAAACCCTCGCATATAATTAATAACAAATAGTTTCCAGCAATAAAATCCCACACTTTTCAATGCATTTTTCTCGATGAATATTAATAGCTGTAAAAGTTATGTTATAATGTTATTACAAAATCAGTTAATCAATAATTAAAAACTTACTTTTAGTTTTGTATGAATATTTGTTGGATACGATTGTGTCAAGCAGTACAGCGAATTGAACAGAACGTAGGACTTATTGATTTCAATGTATATTTGAGACGATATATAGATAATGAATAATAAAATTGTTATGAACAAGGTTGTTATGAATATCATTGTTATGTTAAATAAAATGACAACATTTGAGAATATATTAACGAAAAGTAATAACGATATGATTGAACTGAATGTCATCCATACTATGGATAAAAACTTTGACCAATAATTGTTATTATATTCAGTGATTTCGGTATAAATTTCATTAAATTGCTGTATAATTGTGATAATATTGAAAGGTCTTCTAACTTTGATATCACATTGAACAATTTGTCTTAATTTATTGTTAATTGATTTGATTTTTATTTGCAAATAATATATAATTATATAATAGTAGAAGAATTGCCAAACAATTATTTTATAAATATACTGACAACTTATGGCCCAAACCAATGAGTTGGGAATTGCTATGAAAATAAAATCATTTGTTGGTACTTTGACAAAAATTAGTGAT